CTTTACTGTTCACCCTTATTCTTTCCTGGATTGCTTGAAAAGACTATGTCATACTTAGTAGAACTCTGAAGACTGACCGTCAGTAGGGCGAGTAGTGATATCTTATCCCAAGTCACTGAGCCATATCGTTGACATTGTCACTGACAGGCACTTGATATCATGCAACAAATTTGCTGTGAGCATTCACTGCAGCACCCGTGCCTGCAACCTTGTGTCTCCTCAGGTAGAACAAGAAGTCTTTTCAGAAGACTTTATGCACATACGTCTAAGTATAAAAATTCCACTATACCATATTTGATGGCGCGTACTTTATGTGGTGAAAATAGTGTTAGGCAGGAACTAACTAACTAACTAACTAACCTTCTTTGAACCATAAAATAAACCATTTTCTCCATCCTCATTCCACCAAGCTTTATTGTTATTCTATTTTTACATTTATAATCCTCTCAATTTTTTGTTTTTATTTGTTTATTTTTTCATCAGTGTGAACATCATTTAAACTGTGTAAATAACTGTTAATTTTGTATTTCCCCTCATCATGCTGCTATATCAACAGAAAATTAGAACCAATAATCTATAATATGCTAAAATTTCCAAACTTAATCGACAATACTGTGTAGCGGTAAATAATTCCCCAAAATTATTGACCACAGCAATCACTCACCATTGGATGCTGACCACCACTGTTTAAGTCGACTTGTTTAGATGAAGGCTTCGGTCAAGCATCCCCGCCATTTGGTACCCCGTCGTGTCACGTGCGTGCACGATCACTAGCTAGCTAAGCGTTCGTCTGACGGCTTGTTTTGGTCCCGAAATATATCACGAAGTTTGGACGATCAGTTATTGGCTTTTGCTTAGTTGTTGGTACGCGAGAACTAATACGTTAGAAGCTGTGTAATAGAAATCCGTCAACCTCTAAAACTGTTTGAAAGAAACACAGTTATTTTTTTTATTACAGCTCGATTCCACACCACATTTTTGGTACAGGTATGGAATTTTCAGCATCAGTAGCCCAAATTTTGCAGGCTGACCATAGATATCAAGTGTGCGTCGGCAGAGGATCGAACTCGGGACCATGTGCATGATCGGCGAGAGTCTTAATGACTGTGCCACCGACGCATTATTATTATATTTATCATTTTGTACTTCGAATATTTTTGACTTTACATCGTAAATGTAGACAAATTCCTCTGGTTAATTTTGTTTTAATTTTAAATTTTATTTATATTTTTTGAGTAAATCAGATGCAATATTGTGACGAAATGCTGAAAATTCCATTCTTAATTATAAGTACTGTTCGTCTTGGAATAAAATAGATTATATATGAATTACAATAGACAATAACAATCAGTTTTCTTGTATGTGTTTGTTTAAGTTTGACGGTGATTGGGAATACTAAAGTACGATAATATTGGTGTATAGGATTATTAGTCACAGTTGTTTGAGTTAGTTATCAACACTGTCTTCACTTCAAATTCTCCTCGCCCATGTCGAGGCCGATATTTACAGTTTTGTCCCCATAGAGGAAAAGGAATCTAATCCCTTCTCTGTCAGCACTGGCGCAGAGAATTTGTAGCGAACTCAAACAACTGAAAGAAACCTTCATAGAGAACAGGTATCCATTATGGTTTTTAGAGGCCAATAGCGAAGTACGTGAGGAGAAATACACTGGTTGATACGGTAGCTAGAAAAGTTTTGCACCTAAACCTAGAATTTAAGGGTGACACTGCGGGTGAAATACTTAAAAATCGTCTGACGAGACCATTGAGAAAAACGTTCTTTGCTGCCACGTTACGAATAGCCTCCTCTAGCCATCCACTGGTGCGCCCTAATGTCAAGGAAATGTTACCTCTATTGTCTAATTCTATGTGAATGTATATGTTCACCTGCTCTTACGGAGCTAGGAACATAGGGCGTTCGTCGGAAAACATATCCAGCCGTATTCGAGAGCACCTCCCAGTTTGGGTGAGCAAAGGAGAAGGTGGAGGTATTAACTCATCGATATTGTAACATATTGTAGATACTTACCATGCAGCATCTGAAACATCATTTAACGAAGTCGACAAAGTTTACCGAAATGGACACGGGTGTATCAGCTTTGTACAGCAGAGGCTTTGGCAATATATAACATAAAGTCAGTACTTTGTGTACAAAAACAATTTGTACGATCTCTTTCGTTACCGTGGTCTTGTTTTCCCTTTCTATTCCGTGTTCCATTTTTGTTCCGTTTCATTTTATCTAGTCTACCACTTCAAAAACATTTCAATCATGCTGTTTCCATCATATTATATTCACATTTCCAAATGCACTTTATTTGCCCATCATCTGTTTCACACTTGTCTATCGAACTTTAGGTTGACCTCTATGTATTCAGTTATTCATTCGTATATCTAATCAATTGTGACTAATAATCCTATACACCAATGTTATCGCACTTTAGTATTTCCAATCACTGTTGAACTTTAACACACATACGATTGTACAGCTGTGAAAATGAAATCGCCACTGAGTTTTTTGTTTTCATTTATATTTAAGTTCTAATATTGCTAAGAATATATCTAAAAACAAAACAGGCTACTTATTCAAACTGCAAAAGAAAGGAGACTTAAGTCAATGCAAAAACTGGCGCGAAATTATAATCCTGTCTCCATCCCAAGCAGAATACTAAGCCGCATCATCCTGGAAAGAATCAAACACGCCAACCTGGATGAAAAACTTCGATCGAAACAGGCTGGATTCAGGAGAAACAGGTCATGTATTGATCAAATCGCTACATCACGGATCATCATTGAACAGAGTTTGGAATGGCAGTTAGTCACCTCTCTATCTCAACTTCATCGACTTTGAAAAGGCCTTCGATAGCGTCGATCGAGAGGTGATTTGGCAACTACTTCGCTACTACGGGCTGCCGCCGACAATTATACATCTCATCCAACAGTTATATGAGAATGCTGCATTCCAAGTAATCCACAAAGGGAAAGTTGCAGAATCCTTCGAAGTGAAGACGGGAGTAAGATAAGGCTGCCTACTATCACCAATGGTTTTCCTGATTACGGTAGATTGCAGAATGCGACAGACAGCGGGCACGGTAGTGAAGAAACAAGCATAAAATCAATCCTCACAAAAAGCTTGGGGGATTTGGACTTCGCCGATGATATATGTCTGATTTCCCACAAACTGAAATATATGAAAGTAAAAAGCAACAAGTTGGCAGAAGAAGCATCCTAAGAAGATAGGACTTCAGGTGAACAAAGAGAAGACAGATGTGGTGATGAAGATTCCTGGCCAACAGCAACAGACAACAGTCGGCATAAATGGGAGGAACCTCAAAGAAACAACCTCCTTTACCTACCTGGGAAGCACCATTTCAACTACAGGCGGACGGAACTGATCAGGATATCAAAGCAAGGATCATCGGGGAAGCATACAAGCTTTCATTACTCTTAAGTCTGTGTGGAGGTCAACAGCACTCAGCATCAAAAATAAGATCCGGACTTTCAACTACAATGTGAAGTCAGTGCTACTTATTATACGGATCAGAGACTTGGCGCGTCATAAAGGGCGCCTCAAACAAACTACAGACCTTCACTAACAGCTGTCTTCGCTCAACATTACTCAAGATCAGATGGTCAGAAAAGATCAGCAACAGGGACTGATCTCTGGGAGTGAACTGACCAGGAACCGATTGTGCAACAAATAAGCAGGAAGAAGTGGTGGTGGATCGGTCATACTCTGAGGAGGCCAGGCATTGCTCGAGTGGCACCCGAAAGGGAAGCGGCGATTTGGTCTTCAGAGCAAGGGTGACTTGGAGGAGGTCATGTGAAGAGGAGGTGAAAGCGTGTGGTCAGACTTGGAGCCAGGTGAAAACTTAAGCAGAGAACCGAACGCAATGGAGACGCGCAGCTGAAGCCCTATGTTCCTCTAGGAATAAAAGGAAATAATAATAATAAATTGCATTGAAGGTTGTGCTTCAGTGTTGTTGTCCGCCTATCTCAACTTTATCTCACTCTCCACTGTATTGTATTTAAATATTAAAACTCTTAAATAATCACAGCCGATCAACCTGGTACACACATTCATAGCATATGCAGTCGGAGTACTCGTTTTGTTTGAATAAGCCAGTTGAACACAAAGTTAGGGCATAGAAAAATAAATAAGCAGTTTGCAAAACAACAAAAATTTATTTTGTAAAATGTTCTCTTCATATTTTGAATGTTGGAAATTGTAATTAATTGTTCAAATGTGAATAATAAAAGTGGAAGGAAGAACAATGATATACGCAAACTCTTCAGGAGCTAAATACCAACAGGAAAAGAAATGCGAAGAGAAAAAAAACAACAACACGTTATACAAATTACTTTATCTGGTGTTTGTAGACGCAGTTCACATCTCTCCTTCTTCTGCGCTCGTTCTTATTTGAACACAAATTCTCTTGTGTACAACTAAACAGTAGGTAGGGGTAAGTGAATGCATCAAAACGAAAGCTGACTGGTTTTTCCTTTCTTTAAAATATGAAACTGGATATATACAAAGTAGTAATTTGAAAAGTAGAGAAATCGACCAGTCTTTGGGCTTATATTGTCTTTAAACATGGACAGTGATTATAAAGATGAAATTGCAGGCAAGACACACACACAAAAACACAGAGATTACCTCCGCTCTCTCAAAAACATCAGCATCGTACATCATTGTGTTGCTATAACAACAACAACAACAACGGTAACTAATATAGATCCGAAAGTCAAATAAACCGCATAAATATTATAACAATAATAATAATAATACCGTACTTCATTTTAAAATAAATAATATCAAAACCGTTGTAATGATTTATTTTTGTACACACACACACACACACACATTTTTCCAGTACAAAATGATGAAACATTTCACGGAAGTGAAATGAAAAAAAGAAAGAAAAAAAACTTCTATTAAATTGAAAGATCTGTAAACATATCCTCTAAATATTTTGCCATTTTGTTTTATTAAAAAAAAAAATCCTAACTGACAGAGTTGACTGTAGGAATAAACATTGTCGTTGTGTTTGGCAACAAACGCATACCTAGTCCATTAGATGATGATTTACAATGATCTATTCTTGGATCTTGATTTCCTGTTGACGTGTTCAGCAAAGCAGTTGCTGACGTTGTTGTTGTTGTTGCTGCTGTTGTCATCATCGGTGTTAACGTGGCTACACCGGTTCCTGTTACCTGATTAACTGGTTGATGCATTAAGCCAAACTTGGTATTCATGATTGTATTTTCTGGACTGGAATTCTGTGGATAGTTAGTAACAGAAGTACTAATCGGTTGGTGAAATAAATCGAAAGGATCTGGTATACACGCTTTATTCAAATGGTCTTTAGGACATGTTAGATAGTTGTTTGTACTAAATGCACACGGACAGTTCTGTCGTGTTGACAGATTTGATTTTGATGCTTCGGACAGACTTTCTGTGCCATTATTACTGTTATTATTATTATTATTGCTATTATTATTGTTATTGTTGATACTACTTTTCATCTGTTGAAAATCACTTTTGTTATCCATAACCTGAGAATAAGGGAACACTTGTTCATTGGAATACATTGCTGGTATGATTGGCGCATCAGAATACCAATTTTGTATTTGATTTAAACAGTCTTTAAATGTTGGGCGTCTTTCAATCTCTTCATTCCAACAGCTTGTCATAAACATATAGACATTGGTCGAGCAATGCTGTGGACAAGATAATAATTGTCTAGAGCGTATAAGATCTAATACCTCTGGATCGCTGAATGCAGAATATGGTCGCATACCACCGGACCAAACTTCCCACATCAGAACACCAAATGCCCAGATGTCTGATTCAATTGTAAATTTACCGTAAATAATTGAATCAAGTGGCATCCAACGGATTGGTAGCATTAAACTGTGAGGATGTAAACGATAATAGTCGGCTGCATAACAATCACGTGCCAAGCCGAGATCAGTAATTTTACAGAAAAGTTGATCATTTAAAATGATTACATTGCGTGCAGCTAAATCACGATGAACAAAACGATGGCTAGATAAATAATCCATTCCAGCGGCAACTTGTGATAATACCCTCCAAATTTCTGACTCACTTAAAGGATGCGGAGGATTAGTGGTTACACCATTTGGATAAGTGACACTTGTTACATTAATTTGATTCACCATAGATCTTCTTGAAGATAAAAGTTCACACAGGTCAAGATACTGTCGAATTTCAAAAATCATACACCATGGTGGGTGTTGTACACTAACGCCTAAAAGGCTTAACACATTCGGATGATCTAATTCAGCTATTAAATTTGCTTCTCTTCGAAAGTTCGCTTGCAGACTAGCTGGTGAACCAGCTGATAAAGTTTTCACAATGACTGACATCGGATGACCATTCTCGTAAGCACTGTTCGGTAGTAGTTCAGCTTTGTAGACTGGTCCAAAGACTCCTTGTCCGAATTGTTTTCCAAATCTAGTGGAATAATCGCAAAAGAAGATGTTTCAATATTCAGGCATATTTAAGAGAAAAGTTGCCATAAAACGTGTCAAATTATGTGATTCATGATACCACCTAGAATATCGATTGAATTCCACTACACGAGAATCCTAAACAGTCGACAGTTGTGTTGTTTATCAGCATATTGAATCTTATAAGTGTGAAAATAAAGCTTCAAAACATTTAAAAATGGAAAGGAATGACTCATAAAGTTACTCAAATTCAATTCGTTGTGATCCTCCTGTTGAGTGTGTACAATCAACAGCTTGAACTTAAGTCAATTTTTCAAGTATTGGTTTGAAGGGATTTGGTTGATCAGGAATTAACTTCAGCTAGAGAAACGCTGAGAACTAGGGAATACTGGACAGTTGCTCCGCCTTTGTTTGGAACTCTTCAGTAGTACGTATCCTCGAACCCATCAGGGATCGAAACCATGGACTTCAAGTTACAAGGTGAGCTCATATCAATTATAAACACACGACTTCGAAATCTGAGCTTTATGGTTTTCCTTGTTCTCTCTCATTTGTCGTAGGGATAGTAGAATTTTCCAGATATCTGGGTGGATAGGTGTTGAATCATTCCTATTACACGTATTCTGTCTCAGTTGATTCGATAAACAAAGCTTCTGTTATCAATCTCTCCCAGCTGTTACATTAAATTTTAAGACTGTCATCTTATCCAATACTATTGTATGGTTGTGTGTAATTGCATGTAGTGGGTGGTATAGCTGAACTATTCTCTAGATTTCTTATCTTATTTGGGTCAACTAATCTAGATTTTCCCGCTAGGTTTTTATGTTTGGCTAATCTGACTGGCCCCGTTCTACTAATTTGACCTATGTATTTGACCTGACAGTCATCCCAGCAGGCTATTAGATAAACCAAATTGTTTTGTTTTAAAGGCTCCACTGTCAGGATTGATCCTTTAACCGACAAAGCTTGTTTCTAATTGAGTTTGTGGTTGGTTTGAATGCCAGCCACTTTTATTCCTGGCTGCCTTGTTAAAAATTCTGCGTAAGGTTTCCGAGATTCCAAGGCTGCCAGGTCAAATACATAGGTAAAAGTAGTAGAACAGGAGAAGTCAGACCAGTGTAGCACAGAAACCTAGCAAAATCTAGATAAGTTGAGCCGAATAATATAAGAAATCTAGAGAATAGTTCAACTATACCACTCGCTACATGCAATTACACACAACCATACAAATAGGCTGGATGGGATAAGATGACAGTTTTTCTAAATCTAATGTCACAGGGTTGAGGGAGAGATTGATAACAGAAGGTTTGTTTATCGAATCAACTGCTAATACATGTAATAGGAATGATTCAACACCTATCTACCTAGGTATCTGGAAAGTCCTTCTACCCCAACGACGACAAATAGGAGAGGACAAAGAAAACTCTAAAACTCAAGTTTCGAAGTCGTGGTGTTATAACTGATGAAATGATTATAAACAATAAATTTTGTTCGAAACATTGTCATCCAGTAAATAATACTGTTTCACTGACTGTGTGATACATCCAATAAACAAACTAATATGGAATTACTTACTACCACAGGGCCCAAGTTTTACACGGATATTAATACGATCTCGTAGACTATTCAATGACTGGGTCAGTATCCACCGCTTCATCAGTTATAACTTTTAGCAATTTGCGATGTATAAGGCGATCGCCAGCCAGTATTATCATCCAGATGAGTATCTGTCGGTTGATAGTACAAGGCATGATGCCAAGTCATTCATATACTACATGAGATTATGAATAAATTAGAACTGAGAAGCATTTGAATAATCCGAATTCTCAAGTCATTAAGACTCGATTAAATTCTTTCCTAATATTATGGATTTATCATGTTTCGATCGTATTTAAAAGTTACATTGACCTTCTAAAACTGTTCCTACCACTTGGATTCGGTTGTTACTGAAGGCATTTTGTTGATTTAGACGCTACCGTAAAGAAGTAAGAAAGAAATTAAATTATGTATCTCACTAATAAAAATACGTAAACAGAGTAAATTACCTCAGTTGAGAGATGGGATATTCTATGGCTTTCATAGGCTGATCGTCTAAATTAACTTTAGAGAATAGCGCTGCATTTTGTGAAGCATTGTAGGAGTTGACTGATGAATGACCGGCATCGTTTATCAAAAATTCATTGGGACTTGCATTTCTGAGTGTTGTGTAAGCAGTTGGACTTTCAGCATCACCATTTATTTCATAATGTACTCCTGACTCTGGAATTATGTCACTATTTAATGGCATGTGAATGGATTGATTGAAAGATTGCATGTTAAACGATGCTTCTGTCATACTGAAATGGACAGATGTCGGTGTATTTGTTGTTGCACCAGTCTGTGATTGTGTTCCTGGAGGAGGTGGAGCTGGAGCTCTTGGTGGAGGTAGTTGTGGAGTTAAAAAGTTTGAAGCCTGATACTGAAAATATGTGGCACCGGTATTGTGTTTAGCCGACTGGACAACAGAAACGGATACATCATTATGTACACCAGTTGTACTCTGGGGATTTGAGGAAATACTGTTATGTCCAACTGTAGCAGGTGCACTCATAGCATTCGCCTCACTTGTATTGCACACAACATTACCACCACAGTAGGCAGGTGTGAAAGCTTCATGCACACCATTAAAAAGACCATTTGTAGTGCTTAGTTTTGCACCAGCTCCCATTCCAGGAACTCTTCTTTGTTTGTTGCTGCTGTGATTTGAGTCATTAGGAGCTCCCACTCCTTGTCCTCTGATATGAAATCCATTCAGTCTTTCAGATTCTGAGCAGTCACGATTGCCACGGCAGTTACTGCTAATACGTGACCTGCCTAGGAAACTTGAACCGTCTGCTGTTAAACGCGGAGAATCACTTGCACTATGTCGACAGAGGAAGCAGACAGCTAGAAGGAGGAGGCCGAGTAAAGCTAATGCTCCGAACGAAACAAAAATTGGCAGTAAATCAGGACCAGTTGACAGGGCAGCGTTTAAATCTTGACCTGGTGATATTGTGCCTACCTCTTTTTTCTCTACTAACTGATCAGGTGAGGGTGCAGCTACGTGATTCTCTTCCCAGAATTCTCTATCATTATCATGTCTGTATTCTGAGACTGGATAAAAGGAAAATTAAAATCAAATGGAAACATTAAATTAAAATTAAAGTAGTCTGGATAAGTACCATGAGTTGATGCACTTAGAACATAGCTAGAACGGTTCTCTAAGTGAGATCGGTCAGGTCAAACTTTAATTACCAGTAAGTACCAATGGAGTGCGGTCGCACCAATGACTTTGAAAAGCTCAGTGAGCAAGTTAGTGGAGCCTAGTAAATAATATCGTAATCATGAATAAAATACGCTTAATCAAGTGTTATGTTACTAAATGGGATACCTGGCGAGCTTCAGGTTAGGTTTGATTGTTTGACGATTCACTGGAATACTTCACTCAGCTCTGTGTCAACCAAAAGACCCAACAACGAAAGAAGATGACGCCAATATCATGTACAAAGTAAATTGTAACAACTGCGAAAAACACTACATTGGCCAAAGTGGACGTCCTTTTCGTCTTCGTATCCACGAGCATAAGCTAGCCGTCGAAAGACATGATATCCACTCCCTCATATCACTACGTACAGACAACCACGGACATCAATTCGACTGGAACAACGTTAAAATGTTAGATAGAGGAAACACCAAGAATGCCAGAGAATTTTTAGAAGCCTGGTATTCCAGTGAATTGTCAATCAATAGACACATCAAGATAGACAAAATTTACCAACCGATTAGGAGGAAATCTCACACACAAAGGGTCAAAGTCCAAGTCAAGGAAACAGTCAATTCCAACACACGAAAAGAACCAATGGAGTTCAAGGTCAGCGAAGCATTTGTGAAAGCATAGACTCAGGCGAGTCTTAAAACTTTTTAGAACACAAAGATTCGCTTTTTTCGTCTTTATGATACCTACTGCCAAAAATATTTTCACAGTTTAAGTTCAAAGTGTTAGAACATTCTAACATATAAGTGAATGGAAAAGAATAAGTGAACAGACTGTCTTACCTTGATCAGATATAACTAAGGGTTCTCCAATACGCCTGCAAGTTTGTGGATTTTCTGACGAATAAATTGGCAAACGTGAACAGTCCATTATCATACCTGGTACTGGATTTAAACAAGAAAAATAAGTCGATAAATATTTCATCTTACCAATAATCATATAATGTGCTTAATATTAAATAAAGTATAATTATATTTCAATAATTTACACACAATGATAAGTTTTGTTATTGGTAATAAAACAATTCCAACAGTGGTGTGAACACGGGCAGTAATTTTGCTCGAAATATTACCAATAACAAAACTTATCATTGTGTGTAAATTATTGAAATATAATTATACTTTATTTAATCTAGTCCACAATGCTCAAACTTTTTACTGATATTAGTGCTTAATATTGTTTTGTTTAAATTAAGTATTCAGGCCAGCACCACCGTCCTTACACATCCACACACACACACTGTACACTGCAAACTACATTTAACCCATTCAACATCACTTCCCTTGAAGTCAAGCAAAGCCACATTATGCAGAAGTCTACCTGAGATCAGGAACGTTTATCTTACTACCAAGAAGCGAGCACAAAGAAAAACCCAGTTAATAAAGAGGCTTATTGCACACGAGAGATGACCGGGCGCACGATGTCGTTCGACGGCTTCCCCCAACGTATTCCCAATACATCTCCATTTTCTCCCACATATTTGTTGAGCAATGGGCCCTTGGTTGGTTTGTCGCCAGTCAGAGTTCCTTGTTGCTAATTCTTTCTGGCTGGCTGGCTGACTGGCCATTTGATCTTCAGTATGGAGCCAGCGAAGGCAGCTGTTGGTAAATGTTTTGCTGTAGCCTGTCGGAAATCGATTTTCGTTACACGCGAGCCAAGTTATTGACTAGCATAGAAGAACTGACTGACTTCACACTCGTGTTGGAAATCCAAATCTAGTTCTCTATGCTGTGGTGGAGTGCAGAATATTTCCGAACTGGTTTCAGGTTGATGAAGGCCTGTCTTACATTAACGATTCTTATCGGCTTTGACATCTTCATCCATTCGGCGTGCCTGTGGTTGAAACGATGCTTCCTAATCGGATAATTGAAGGATGTAACCTACGTTAAACCACTCCTGTTGATGGTGATTGGTGCTGGTTGTTGCTGCTGCTGTTGTTGTTGTTGTTGAGGTTCGTTGGTTATTTTCATAACCTTAGTATTCTCTACGTTCACTTGGAGTCCTGTCTTCGCTGTCAGCCTCCTCAGCCAGTTTATTGTTTGTCGCCTGCAAGTCTTCCGATTTGTGTGTCATTAGACATAAATCGTCCACACGCGAAATCCAGATCTTCTAAAGTTTGATTATCGGTCGTCCAGCTTATTCCTGACTCCTCGCTCCCAACGCACAGTCTGACGCATAATCCAGCCCACCACAATTGATAATACCATCGGCGATAACACGCAGGCAGTTTTTTTCACCCCTGTGTGCATTTCGAACGCCTCGCTGAGTTTTCTGCTGTGGACCACCTGACACGTGGCACTGTCATATAGCCAGCTGTTGAATGAGGTTGAAAGATACCTGAAGTACTGCACGCCATAGTGTTGAAGCAGTTTCCAAATTACTTCTTGGTCAACGCTGTCTGTCGAAGGCCTTTTTGAAGTCAATGAATTTAGGGCGGAGAGAGGTTTGACTGCCATTCTATGCTTTGTTCGATGACTATGCGCTGAGTTTCAATTTGATCAGCGCACGATTGCCTTTCCTAAATCCAGCCAGTTTGTTCTAGATTGGCAGAGTTCTGTGTCCATTGCATCCTTTATTCTCTCCAGGATAATGCAACTTAGTAATTTACTTGGCGTGGACAAGAGCATCATTGAACTGCTACATCAGTTCTCTTAATAAATTTGTTCGGAATACAAAAGTTAAAGCCAAAGGAAAGCGCTTCAATTTCAATTCGATTTTACTTCAAAGCATGTTAAAGATAAACTTCACAACAATTTATGGAAAGGTGTCATGCATTTTGGACAGAGTTCAATAAACAATTTATATCTATTTTTATGTTGGAGAACCTGAATAAAACTGATGAACTTGATCCAGCATGTGACATTCAAACCATTGACTACTTCATCGTAGTACCTGACTTCGTTCTCAATTTTGAAATCAGAGATTTTGTTGATTCAGTGTGCGATTCAATAATATGTCGAAGATCTTGAGAGAAGGCTGCATCTTTCATGTACCTGACTGAAATTGCCTGAAATTCCACTGAGAACTCGTGACCGATGGAGTCCACCAGGTAGGGTGTGGGGACAAAAACTCGCTGACGACAATGGCTGGTACTGAAGCTGAAAATCACTAACTGAGAGAAGCTAGAATCCGTGGGATATTTGACTCCGTCCCAGTGGTCAACAACCTCGCCTCATAACCTGAAAGTACAGGCCTCTTTCCTCTTCAGCGCTAAGTGTGCATACTGCCGAAGAGTCCCAAGGGGACGAAACAACTGTCCAGTACTCCCTGGTTTTCAATGGTTTTCCAACTGATACCAACTCCTGGTAGAATTTGAGTCTAGTCATGGGTCTCGAGGACTAATGTGATTAGATTCGCTGTTGGCTGAATCAGAGTAAAGAAAACACGCTCACATTTAAGGCAGAAAGAAATTTCAAACTCTAACCAACAGCCTAAGGTTTACTGGGCTGGGGGTTTGTTGTGTCTCATATTCATGAGACGACTAGGCCAAACCTTTGGTGGCTGAATCAACATTTAGACGGATTTAGGTTACAGTGCGTCGGTGGCACAGCGGTTAGGATGCTCGCCGACCATGCACATGGTCCGAGATTCGATCCCCGGCCGACGCACAACCTTTACCTCGCTAAGCTAGAAATAATGCTGGTTAAGAGGAAAGGCTAGCAACCCCATCCTGTAAAATAAATACTGCTGCAGAAACCTCAAGCCACTAGTCCTATGTTCCATTGGGGAACGTGAAGAAAAAAGAAGGTTACAGATTTGAATGTATTCGCGACACAGAGTTCGTTTATGCTGTTAATCATCATCGTGCTACATATAAATAAACAGCGCATACGCTTCTATATATACAACCAATGATTCTTCTTAAGAAGGCATTTAAACATGCAGAAAGATAAATAAAAATAAATCGTTACTATCTTAAAAGTGACTTGAAATTATGGAGGTACAAATGTGCAAAAAAAAGGCATACCACTTACAATCATGCAGTATTTTTCTATCTAAATAATCATAAGTCGGTCCACATTCATTTTGCATCACCAATTCACAATCTTGTCGGCATAGATGACGCATCTGATAGGCATTATCGTTTACTGGTTGAGTCTCTCTAGACACCAGTTCATTTTCATAAGAAATCGGTTTTGTTTCAAGGCATACTGGAAAGTTGTAGTAGCAAATCGCCTCCATCAGACGTCGTAAACAATCTTCTCTTACATGATGTAAGGACTGAGTTGCAGTAAGCTTAAGAACTGAAAAAAAACGGTAAAAGAATAGGAGATTGCTATAAACATCTTGTTTAGAACATGGCAAATGAGGAGAACTGATCAATTGGTATGAAAGTAATCTTTAATAACGTTTGCCTTATAGCCTCAGACGTTAACTTCCCCATCTCACTACGTATTGACCGTAGTCGCCTGTTCATACAACTGAAGATAGAATTTTTGTCGTGATTTATTGCAGTAGAAGAATATGATACGCTCTGCAATAAGGTTGTCAATAAGAAAGCCAGCTTAAATGTCGGATGTTTAGATTAACTTGAGATGACTACTGAGCTCGCCAGCCACGTGGTTGTGTTTCAAGTCCCACTTGAGGTGAGGCCAGCAGTGTAGCAATGCAAAAAACACTGCCAATTAATGTTGCAGGTTGCGTAACTCTTTGTTTGATAGGTAGATAAAACTGAAATACTTGTAAATTAAGTCAAGGGAAAAGGGATGCTAAATAACGAAAAGGTCTAAGGCTTCCTGCCGACTGCCTTCAACCATTTAATATAATCAAATCAATGTGCTATGTGGGGGCGAGCCACCTAGCGTGATGGTGGCTACATTGCGAACCTGAATGATAAAATTCAGTTTGCACCCAGATAGGACTAGACACACTGCACTAGTCACTGACTATCTATATCCCCTATAAATGTGCAATTTATTTTCTTGAATTCGTCTTACTACTTATTACAAATTAAGTAAGTATAGTTATCATACTTCTGTTTTGCTTCGAGCTTGTCAAGGGAGTACATATATTTGATTATAGCTTGATTCCACACTGTTTTTTTGGTACAGGTATGAAATTTTCAACATGTGATATCGGAAGCCCAAAATTTTGCAGGCCGACCATTGATATCATGTGTCTTTCGGCAGGGGATCAAACCCCGGTCCATGTGCATGGTCGGCGAGAGTCCTAACCACTGTGTCACATAGCGAGTAGGGACGAATGGAAAGTAGCTGTCTCGAAAACTGTCTGTCTTTGAGCATTTCGAAGAAACCTAGGGGAACGTAAACTAGATTGTCTGGCATGTTTCGAGGTATTTGTATAGCTATGCCTACCTACCTGGAAATCAGATCAGAAGGAATTTTGTATACCTTCAGGCTATCATTGTCCAAACTGATTAAAACGTCTTAAAATTGGAGTGTGAGGATATTGTAAACTGGGAAAGTTTCATATCTTCTCCCCTATAGTGCTGTGTAAAACAAGGCAAATGGCAGCGCTATACCATGTGGGCGTTTAACGCTTAACACTAGATTTCTTATCTTTCCGTTTGACTTCAGTCTACAAGTAGGACACTAAGTCTGTGAAGTGAGTGAAGATTCTCTTGACTCTGTGATAGTAATTTATAATGGAAGTTGAAAAGTTATGTGTTCATGTGGGGTGTTCACTCTCCATTATTCAGTGAATTGTTAGGAAAATCCTTATAACACTAATTAATATAGACTTCCATTTAGTCGCTTAGTTACGTGTGAAAAATTATGAGTAAAAAACGACTGATTTGCATATAACACTATGCTAAACTACGCCCACTACTTTCAATGTCTGATAGAATATAAGTTTTAGACTAAAAATAGTGCATTCAAATCACTTATACGAACACCTTAAATGGCTGTTTATATATATATATATCAGATATTGCTTTGTAGGGATTTTCTTTGGTTGGTTGGAGGATTTCATCATGACTTCACATAGGTAACCATTGGTAAAACACCAGGGAGTACTGGACAGCTGTTTCGTCACTCTAGTGTTGGGCTCTTCGCCAGTACACATCCACCTCCAAGGTTTGAACCAAAGACCTTCTGGTTACAAGACTAACGAGCTAGTTCGTAGACCATTAAGCCACTGGGACCCGATCCAATGGCCAGGCCATGAATTCTAACTTCTGTCAATTCACGACATAGCGCAATCACCTCGCAATGTCTTCTTCGATGAGTAACTGTCCTCACCTTCAATCTGCTGTACCCTACTGGACACAGCTTCCCAGTTTAAGACTCTTCAACGGTACACACTCACCGTCACGGTTTGAACCCAGAACCTGCCGGTTAGAAGGCAAGCTGGCATACCATTTAGACACTGGAACCCAATTCCAAGGCCCATGAATTTTAACTCCTAATTTGTGATTTTAGCATGACCACCAAATAATGTCATCGACCGGAAATTCATCCTCACTCCCTACTGAATGAACTTCACTGACCAATATCAATGCATGGTCTAACCGGAAATAATCCCTACAAACTAATTTTTTGAAAATTAATCTGGTGCTCCCTAGTGACTGACTACAGGACTCAGTTGCCTGGAGTGAGTTTTAGTGAGAAATCGTGACCAGTGAGGTTCATCCAATCGGGATTGAGGATGGAGTTCTCACCGATGACATGGGTTGATGGTCGCACTAAAATCACTAATTGAAAGGAGTAAGAATTCATGGATTGGCCAATGAATCGAGTCCAAGTGTCTGAATGGTATGCGAGCTTGTCTTGTAACTAGAAGGTTCTCAGTTCGAACCCCAGAGGGTGCCTACTGCCTATGATTCCCAAACTAGGCTGGTGAAACTGCTGTCCAATACTCTCTGGTTTCCAGTGGTTCTCTGAATGATATTGATCCGTGGTGAAACTCGAAGAACAAATCAAATCCTTACAAATCGACTCCTGAAAATAAGCATATTCACAAAGTGGACGACTAGATGCATGATGACATCAGTTATCGCCTAGTGTCCAATCAAAATATTCATTGCGATCTTATAGGAGGTCACTAGCGATAGCAAATAGCTCAGTGACAATGTCTCTGACTTCAATACCGCGTAACCCGGGTTTGAATCTCAAATACCCGTTGCTGTCGGGTCCCAACAAGCACGAAACCTAGGCCAACATGGGCCTTCCTGTATCCAAATAATAATAATAATAACAATTCAGACTGCGGCATGATGGCGAGACACCTAGCATGGTGGCCACATGGTCACAGACTTGGTCACAGTCTGCCTCCAGCACAAAGAACTAGAACCATGACCCTAGTAACTAACTGGTATCCAATCTGAAAACATATACATATTATACATAAATGTATCAAAAAAAATTTCAACTTTAAGTTGTTGGTCGACAAAGAATGTCACGTTATGTTTACTACTTCAAGTAAGATTGTCACATAATTTGTAACTCACTGGCTGGTGTTCGTACAGCATCTATATATATATATATATATATATATATATATATATATATATATATATATATATATATATATATATATATATACATATACATCCCAAGTACACATGCACAAAGTGATACCAGCTTTGTGACAGTGGAAGTTTAGGGAAAAAGTAGGTCAAACAGGTGTTCACTTCGCTGTGTTGACGATTAAGATACCATGTGTACCAAACGTCAAGAAACATGATGCCATTCGTGTTAGTGATTTATGCAGGTGTATTCAATATGCATATACAAAACAATATGATGAAAGTATGTACGTAAATTTTGATATGAGAAATAAAATACGAAACTTCTGTGCTAAAAAGTAGAGAGCTCTTAAGTAATTTTCCTACTATTTTTGTTTTTACTAAAACTTGAAAAGAGAATGTACACTGATTAAAAACTTTAGAGTAATTGTTATTGCCAGTTATTTACTTTGGGAAGGCAGTAGACTGGCTGGAGGAGGCTACGGTTCGTGCTGACTGTACTGACAAGATTATTATTATTATTATTATTAATATTACTATTCATCATGTTGATACTCGGCTATGACAGATGAGTCTCCTGATTGGCGTGGACTGAATTATGCAGCAGATCATGAGGAGCGACAAGACAGGAATACGCTGGGCCGACAAAAAAAAATCTAGAAGATCTAGACTTTGTGAATGACTTATGGCTGAATGTCACATCAAACCGGAAATCTTTATCTGAAAACCAACAAATTGACAGAAAAGGTAGCGAAAACAAGACTCCAAGAGAACATAGAGAACTCCATTATGGATAAGATTTTATTTTGATAAACTGTCACACAGTGGTGTTATACAGTAATATTAACTGATCCGGCCACATTCCAAGCACAAACTATTGCCACTCATAATCACATCAAGACACTACTCACACAACTTTTTCCCTTCATTAATATACATGAGTGGAACTGATGATTAGATATTTGAATGAAACTCAATATAGGATGATGTACATTCAGAATTATTGATGTGAGTGTTATTTAGCAGTTACAATCATATGGGAAATAAGACGAGTGCTTTATAGTCATAATAAGTAACTTGTTAGAATGTTATGATGTACGTGAATTGAAATAGAAATTTGAGATTATTTATTATCCTCCTCTGATTTCACTAACTGGTGGTAATAATATCTTCCATATTTCTGGTATTAGCGTTGATTCATTTTCATTGTGCATGGGTTGTGTTGGGTGTAGACTCAATGAACCAGGATTCAGTAATCAATCTCTCTCTTCACCTACATAGATTACTTTTTAGAATCTCACCACCATGCTATTGTGTGGTTGTGTGCTTAGGCATGCAGTGCAATCGCTGAGTGCGTTCTTCTAAATTACTCATCTTCTTGGGGTCAACCATTCTTAACTTAGCTAGATTCTTATGTTCCGACAATCTGACTACTCCTGATCTACTGGTTTGACCGACCTATGTAGTTAACTTAACTGACAGTCACTGCAGGGTATTTTGTAAATTATATTATTTTGTCTAAGTGGGGTCCTTTCACCTACAGAGCTTGTCTCTGAGTGGGTTTGTAGGTTTGAATGCCATCCTAATTCCTGATTTATTAAGAATCCTACGTAGCGTCTCAGATGTCTCCTCCCTCCTTATATGGTATAAAAGTAGATGCCTTATATTCTCTCTTATTTATGTTATCATTACTAGTTTCACCATAATTTTTATTTGACTTCTGGCCTTTTCTGATCTTCCTAATGAATTTTAAAGGATAGTTGGTTATTTAACACCAACGCCTCTTCTATCTGTTTTATTTCATCATTTAGGTTC